ACAGGTTAAGAACTGGACGTTATACCTGTTGATTGCAGGGATAGGTAGATGATTAAAACTTCACTGACCACCAAAAGTTTTCTTTTTTTTTTCTGTAATCCAGATGTGAAGCAGAAGAAATTACTTACTGCTGTGCTGAATAAATACAGAAAGGTTGGAGTACAACCAATAAATGTACAGGAAATGTTTCTTAGTAGCAGCATGTTGGTTCACTGGTATTGCTGCCAGCTGGATAATACAATATGTAGGAAGGAAAAGGCTCCCTGGGGAAGTGCAGCTTCTCAGCTGTTACTGCTGTTGCAAAGGTATTGTTAGAAAAGAACACCTCTGCTCAGAAACTCAAAAGGTGTGGGATTTAACCAATCCTTTCCGTGAACCAGAATCAGCAAGGCCGTTGCTAACCCTGACCACATGGTAAAGGATGAAGGTCCTTGGCGTGTTTTGGTGGCTAGCGATGGCATTAGTGATCACCTTCTGCTCAAGTACTGGCAGAGTTGAACAAGGATTAAGTTAATCTTTTGGAGATTAATTTTAAATCATGTTTATCTGTAACTGTTGTTTGTTTTAATACTTTGAACTTCAAATCATTCTCTTTTCTAAGAATACTGCTGTATTTACATTTTGATACCTCTTTGCAGAGACACAAAATGGCTGTTTGCATGGTGATTCTAGTAGAGTTCTGAGATTTATTTTTAAATCCTCCAGTTAAAGCACCTCTCCTTGGTCCATTCCTTCTGTTGAGAAGCAATGATGAACAAAATGATTTTTGGGGTAGTTAAAGCCAAAGATTTCACTCTCGTAGGAGGGCCGTGTATTTCCTATTAAGGCTATATTGTAATGCTGTGCAATTAGTTTCATATTCAAGCTCTTCTTTTAACTATCTCTGCTTACTTATTCACTGCCCCAGAGCACTTAGTAGGTCAAAACTGTAAGAGAGAGAGCAGTCAGTCTACAGCAGAGCAGCCCAAGCTGGGAGCAGGAGTTGAAATGCAAAGAACACTGGTTGCAGCACAGTGGCTTTCTGGGTGAGCAGGCAGGGAGCAGAATTGGTCAGGGTAAGGAGCAGGGTTCTTGCTGCTTTGGGCCCTGAGATGGGGAGAGAGCAGCCACCTTTCTCAAAAGAGAGAGAGCGAGCGCGTGTGCACCTGGGCAGGGAGGGAACTGCAAAGCTGCCTTATTCAAGCAGGGGCAACCACAGGACAACTTTGCAGGGAGACAGAACAGTAGGGCTTGGTATTTGTCAGCTTAAGATGCTCTTTTCATTGAGCAGCTTGGGGAGGACTATTCCTTCCTTTAGCCTCTCTTGGGGGAGATGAAGGACCACCATGTGGCCTTTGTACAGCACTTGAATCAGGCCTGAGCAACTTGGGCAAGGCGCTCTCCTTTTTTTGTTTTCATCCTTTCTGTATCAAATTCCTAGACACTAAACAGAAGAAGATAGAAAAGACCCTTCAGTCTGACCACAATGTCAGCACTGCCCCACTCAATGACTGCCTTTGGTCCTTTGCTGTGAGAGTTGCAGAACCCTGTGTTCACTTGCTGGTTAATGTATGATGCACTGCCTGGCATCCACTCCAATTTCTAATTAGGATTTATTTATGATGAAGGGAACTCTAACCTGTATATACATTAGATATTCCAGAATTATTGATCCTCAGTTGCACAGCTTATTGCAGGCTACTGGGTTATCTCCACTAAAAAACTGTTTCCCTTAGCTGCGAGTTAGCCACACTACTTCCTCCTCCTCTCTGTCTGTTGCCTATATTAAGGTTCGAAATGTATTTGTCGTGTTGTAAGAAGTTAATAAGGCCTGCCTCACAACCAATTTTGATCACTCACTGACACATAAATAGTATGTGCCAGTTCTCAAGCCATTAGTTAGTGGTTTTAGTTAAGATAAGTTGCACTGTAGACGGTAATCCTGTTGCTCAGTTCTAGCTTTCTGAAGTGTGGACCAACCTTTAATAAGGCTCAGGTCACTTGTTTGGAACTGAGCCCATCTCCTAGACTCATTGACTTAAGCCCAACAGCAGCATTGAATACAGTATGTCATCCCAATCAGCATGTGCCCGGTCTGCAAATGCAGTGTGCCCATAGATAGGCCTGCTGCAGTGGAACCAAGAGCGTTCGGCCTGTGTTATTTTACTGCGTAGGTTTCCCAGAAGTATCTGGTATCTCTTAGGAACACAAGATAGTTTTAGGCACAGAATATTTCATCTGCAGGAAACAGAAGCTTCACAGTTACACAGGATAGTTCTTCTTTTTGTTTATTTTTTTTAATTTCCACATGACATGAGTATGTTTTTTCTCAGGTATTCAGATAGCATTCATTATCCAAGTGACAACTTCTCTTTGGAAGGATATATAGCCTCCATTCATTTTCTGATAAATCCAATAGCTTGTCTGTGTGGCTAGTGATTAACAGCAGCCATTCCCATTCAAAATTGAACCTATAGTTAGTTCAAAGAAGTAATCTTATTTCTCACACATCCTTTTTTTCAGTTTGGTGTATCTCCTGGATTTGTTTCCAGTCCTGCTACCTGGCTGAGGCAGTGATGGAAACCCTTATTCTAATTGGAGACCTTTGGAACTAGACCTTGGGTCTAGAAAGAAAAATGAATTAAAAAGGCAGTTGCACTTCAGAGAGGGAAATTAATCCTCGAGAAAGGAAAATTCCTTCTTTGTTCCTATGGAAGGAAGACTTCAGATAGGTTTTTAAAATGTTTCTTCTCCCTGTAAATTGTGTCTAGAAATTCAAAAAGCTAAATCAAGGAAGAAGCTTCTCTTGCATTTTGGGCTTGCTTTTGTGAAAGCACAAAACTCTTTTCCATTTTGTTTTTAATATAATTTAGATCTAGAAATAAGATTTACATGTTCAGCCAGAGATATAAGACAGTCCTGTAGTGCAGGACTTGTATAAAAATTAGCTTGTATAATTGTTTGTTTATAATAATGGTAACAATCTGTCGGGCATTTTTTTTTATGTCAAAGAAGGTCATAAGCTCTCCATTGTTTTGTCTTTTTTTTTCCCTTTAGGTGTCACGTAGCAGCAGGAGTTTAAAATGTATGTGTTTTACTGAGGACAGAGAGTTAAAATCGCTTCAATTGGGGACCACTTGTACTGCTCTAATTTACTTATAAACTCTTTGGAGGCCTGTAATATGGATTCTTGTGAAAGGTTATTGGTGTCAGACATAGGCTAGTTGCAAATTAGTGCTGTGTAGATTATTATTGGTAGTGAGCCATTTACATGAATAGGTGAGATGAAAATGCATAAGAGAAAGAGTTCAGTTGTCTGACTTCACGTGCTAAGAAAGTCGAGTTACTATGCAACTGAGTCTAAAAGACAGCCACACGCCTTTCTTTTTGGCTCTACCCTGTGCGCTTGCCTCCTGGTAACTGTGTGTGCACATGTAACCTTCCTCTGTGGCCTGCAGCGGGTCAGTTATCGTGGTGCTGGACCTGGTGAGGTGGGTTAGAGGTGAACCTTGTCACATGTCTAGTTGCTAAAAGACTTACTCATTCTTGTGGGGAATTAGGGTAGAGAATGAATCCCTAAATGAGTTCACTTTTATCCCCACTGCTCATACCCTTCCTTCTTGTCTCGCTACCCCTACTAAAGCCACTCTACAGAAGATTTATCACAAGGTGCCTTAGGAACAAGGAGCATGTCTGAAATACGAGCCATAGATGCCATTAATCCAAGGGATTTCTTCTCCTTGTTCCTTTGCCTATTTGGTAGAGGGGAGGCACTTCCTAAGGTCAGGAAGGAGAGCCCCTGTAGGCTGTTCCTGGAGACTTAAGCTGTTCATTAGACTGTCTTGTTGCTATAAGGTGAGTAGTAGAATGGCGTTGGAGTTTCCTAGCGCCATAAGATCTTTGCCTTTTAAAATCATATGCTGCTCTCGGATATCAAGGAACACCAGAGGACCACTCCATTTGATATGCTCATGCTAAACCTGAGGACCAGAGAAACACTAGATAGACATGGAAGAGCATTCCTGGTGGCCATTCATCATTTTCTCTCAAAAGTGTCTGAATCCAGTGTTGTGAGTGGTGTGTGCTTATGTGTATTGAGGCTGGATAAGAGACCAAAGCAACAAAGTTTTTTTTTTTTGATCTACAAGTGTGAAAGAAAGGACTGTTTCTCCTTTTCTTATATCTCGGAAAATATTGGATGTGATAATGTCATGTAGACGTAGCAGAACATCTCAATTGGTAGAATGAAAAACTGGGAACTGATCGTGTTAAATACATTGGCTAATTAACTGTGAAAGAAGCCAGGAGTCACAGTGCTAAGTCATTTATCTAAATAAGTTGATTTGCAGTAAATACCAACTAAAAGTTTTAGAAGGTACATAAAACTGCGGAGTTCAAATACATCTTGCTAGGAGGAGAATTTTCTGTGGGGTTATTCCGTGATTGGCTCCAAGGAGTCTCTGGCAACTTATTGTGAAACACTGGTGCTGTTGCAGCTGAAGACACAACATCAGGCCGGGTGGATGGTGGGTCTGACTCCCCTTGGCTTTTCTGCATTCTGTTCTGGATTTTGTGTGTTGCTTTCTCAGAAGCTTCATCACAAGAAATGTACCCTTTATCAGGCAGGGAGAGAGAAAGAACTTTGTGATCCATCAGTGAGGGTTATCTGGTTTAAGCCCATCTGGAAAGGTGAGTCAAGTCCCTTGGACAAGAAGTTGGATGCCAGCCATTAAGCTCAGAGCTAAGAAGGCTTTGCCAAGTAACGACCTCAATGTTTAGGAGCTGTGTTTGGAAATTATAAATAGCTGGAGGTGGTCTCCCTGCAACCTCCAAGATGCTCTGGTGACTATCTGCTCTCCTCAGAGGGAAGCAGTCTGCTCTCAACTCGCTGCTCCAAGCTGCTAGTGTAGTCTTTCAATGGGGAGCATCTTGTAGCTGGTCATACCTTTTCCAGACCTATATTCTTGTGAACTGTGATGGTTGTCTGTCAGTTCTTATCTATGTCATGTGAATATTTTTGATGTCCTGTGGTTTCAAAATTGAGTTCTCAGTGCCAACTCTTTGCTTTTCATGTCCTCCCAAAATATGAGTTTTAAATGGAGGAGAGGATATTTTAACAAAATGTGGCACTGAACCTCTTGCTGAAGGGCACGTATGAGGACTGTATTTATAGTGTGCTTGCATTCCTTCTATGCTTGGTTTGTATTGTTTATATTTGATGTGTTGTGGCTGATTTGTAATAGTACATTGGAACTTATTCCCTTTAAATAAACTTTTCACTATGCAACCAAAAACTTTGTCTTCTGTTTAAAGCAACTGAGTGTCTTGATATGGAAAACTGAACTACAGACTTTCCCACAAGACAAGAATACAATTAAACTTAGTTTTATGAGCAAAGAAGAGGCAAATACTAGAAATGAACTTTGCAGTGTACTGGATGTTCTGGTTGCAAATGGATAGGAAAATGCTCTGTTGGCAGCTGGTGGTGATGGTTCCAGCTAGGAAATTTTCTGTCTGTTAAAATGACTTGCTGGGGCTTTTTTTTTTTTTTTTTTAATTCTTCAAATTCTCTGCAATGCTTGAGATTATACTGAATGCCTGAAGAATTGGAGAGGAACAAGCAAGTAACCAAGCTCATATCATGGACACGGGCAGAGTTTGAATGCTTTACCCTCCAGTGCTTCATAGTGGTAGTTTTCACCTCCATTTGCAGAGATCCCCTACAGCTAGCTATTCCATTACTTCAGCTTTCAATCTGAAGGATTAAAAACATCTCTTCAGTTACCAGGGACTGATTAAATTATTTAGAGAAAAGTGTTTGCCCCTTATAGCTGCTTGCCCATCAACTTTCTCTCCCTGTGAAGACTATATTTACATGGCCTGAAGGAAGCACCTGCTGGTCAAAATGAGGAATGATACCCACAGCCCAAGCCATCCTTCCTCACTTGTCTCGTTATGCAGCTCAGCAGGACAAGTGCTGAGAAGTTCAGCTCTCTCTGTTCTAGTCCTGTGTTTCCTTGGAGCGCTTTTATAAAATAATTGATGGGCAGGAGCAATCATAAAGCAAGCTGATCAAAGGAATAGATGAGTCTGCCACCTGAAAGATGTTTCATCTTGTTTTAAGATGACTGAAGAGAAGCAGTGCTACAGCTATTTGATTACCATGCACTCACTATGAATCCCTGTCCTTGCGCTTGGCTCAGGCGTACGGCCAAGAGGAGAACTAAGCACCTTGGTGTGGATGCAGACAAGTGACATGAAACTTCGCAATGTCAGTTTTTTCCCACCCTTTCTATCATTTTTGTGGTTGGGCTGCAGCAGAAGCGCCCTGATGACGAGCTGCTCGGCGACCGTCTCGCAGCAGGCTTTGTTGGCCCTGCCCGGCAAGTGACTCTCTCCCGTTTTTGGCCGCACAGGCAGAATATTGTTCTTGGGCTGCTGAAGCCCTGTCGTTGCTTTTAGTGGTGTTTGATTATCAACAGCTGTTTTGAGCTTAGCAGAGCTTTTCATTGTTACACAGGTGGTATCCAATCTCTGTAGTAACACATACACAGATTTAATTATTGTTTAAGGAGGCTCTGCCACCATCCCGCCTTCTCTTGGTGGTAGCCCCGACTGCGGAATAAGAGAAGCAAGTTTCCCACCTGCTCCTTTTATGAGAGCTACAAGAAACGTGTGAGGATGCCACCATTCAGGAATCAGCAAGCAAACCATCCCTCTGCGGAAAGGGATGTGCGGCTTGGGCTCTATCAACGAGCGCGATTTGCTGCGGAGGAGAGGGGAGGGCGGGCCGGGTTTAGGGCGGCCGGAGCGGCTGCCCCTGCTCTCCCG